ATGGCTAGGCCACTCTCCATCATCTTGGAAAGGTCCTGGAGATCAGGAGAGGTGCCTGAGGACTGGAAGAAAGCCAACTTCACCCCAGTCTTCCAAAAGGGCAAAAAGGAGGAGCCAGGAAGTTCGACAAAGGCAAGTGCAGGGTCCTGCACCTAGGGAGGCATAACCCCATGCAGCAGTACAGGTTGACCTGCTGGAAAGCAGCTCTGCAGAGAAGGACCTGGGAGTCCTGATGGACAACAAGTTAACCATGAGCCAGCAGTGTGCCCTTGTGGCCAAGAAGGCCAATGGGATCCTGGGGAGCATGAGGAAGAGTGCTGCCAGCAGGTGGAGGGAGGTGATCCTGCCCCTCTTCTCAGCCCTGGGGAGGCCACATCTGGAGGACTCTGTCCAATTCTGGGCTCCCCAGGACAAGAGAGGCATGGGGCTACTGGAGAGAGTCCAGCAGAGGGCTACAAAAAGGATGAGGGGACTGGAGCCTCTCTCCTGTGAAGAAAGGCTGAGAGATCTGGGCTTGTTTAGCCTGGAGAAGAGAAGACTGAGGGGGGATCTGATCAACGTGTATAAGTATCTGAAGGGGGAGTGTCAAGAGGATGAGGCCAATCTCTTCTCCGTGGTGCCCAGCAACAGGACAAGAGGCAACGGGCACACACTGAACCACAGGAAGTTCCATCTGAACCTGAGGAAAAACTTCTTGACTGTGAGGGTGACAGAGCATTGGAACAGGTTGCCCAGAGAGGTGGTGGAGTCTCCTTCCCTGGAGATATTCAAAAGCTGACTGGACGCGATCCTGGGCAACATGCTGTAGAGGACCCTGCTTGAGCAGGGAGGTTGGACTAGATGATCCCCAGAGGTCCCTTCCAACCTTGGCGATTCTGTGATCTGGAGAGCAGTATGCATTTCATCAATCCTGCTGGGACAGCAGCAGCAGTTCTGGGTGCTCAGGAGTCAACCAAAAAACCGGGCAACTGTCAGTATCGGGCTAGCAAGCCTGTAGGCAGACTGCTTAGGTAGCTGTGGTCAAAATTTGGTATTACTTAAACGCTTTTCTCCTCTTTACATCTCTTGGTGAAACTAGTCCTTCTTAGCAATCACCTGTGAACAGAGCTTGTATGATAGCATTTCTGTCCAGGCATATTTCTTGTCTCTAGCGTGACAAAGTAATGCTTTACCTTTGTTTCTAACACTGTCCAGAAAGGTAATTGCATAAAAATTGTAATATTAATAATTTTTTTTCACCCTGGAAAGGAGAATGGCACTATATGGATGGACTGTAAGGATCAAAACCTTTCTTTTGTTTGTTTTGCAGTCTGGTAGCCAGAAAAGCTAGCTTGTTTTGCTTTTCATAATTATTAAATGAATCTGATTCTGTATAAATGAAGTTTCCAGGTTCACCGTGCCCTGCACGCCCTGAAGCCATTTCCTCTCAAAGCAGTGGCCTCTGGCCTTAGTTAAATCTGAGCTGCTCTGTGTTGATGCCTCTGTCCTACTTGCACATCTGAGTGCTATACAGGTGATAGGGCTGTGTGGGGTGATGGAGTCTCTGCCTGGTTCTCTATCAGGTATCTGGTGCTAGCCTTGACCAAAGTCCCTTTTTGGATTGTTGGAGGGCGTCCTGCAGTGGGGAGCCAGATCCTGGCCCTACCACATGCATTTTTTTTTGTTTTTTTAATGAACTCAAACCATCTGGGCATTGTACTGCAGGAGTACGCGTGTGTTGGGGTACACGTGTAACTCTTGTTTTACATTATGGGTCAGGTCTTTTCAGTAAGACTTAGTAAGTCCTTGTGTGGTTAGTGAGCGTGATTTGCTGAGTTAGGAGGAAAAATAGAAGAAATCCACTGTCACCTGATGACTTACCTCCTTTTGGAAAAAAGGAAAGAAACCACCACCACCCCCCTAAAAAAAGGAAAAAAGTAAAGCAAGGGTAGTACAATTCTTGATGGCTGAAGCCTTTTGCAGGAATGTTTGCAGGTGTAACATTATCCTATATCTGTTCATCCATAGGCATGGAAGAGAAAAATAAGGCAGAGGAGGAGTATTATCCCATCTCCATTCATTTGTATCTGCCAGTGCAGACCCAAGCATTTGGCACCTAGTGTGCACTCCTGCATCACCTGAGCCATGAACAGCCTCTCCGTTTCTTCACGTGCTCCCTCTCTCCCTCCAGCTGAGAATGGAACTACTTGCTCCCTGGTCAACAGTACTAATTTGTAGATACTGGAGTACTTCCTATTCTCTAAAGCATGAGTAGTAATGGAGAAAATGAATACAAAGAAAAGTTCCTCAGGATGCTGACCATGCTGTTTAGGAATATACCACCACTTTTTCAGAAGCTGGCTTAGCCTTCTAAAGCAGAGAAGGCAAAAGAGTGTGGTAATATAGTCACAGAACTGAGAAGAAAACACGGGCCAGTTATTAGGGCCTAATACACTGAAGCCCCTTGGTTAGCTAATGAGGTCCTTGGCCTGTGGTGTTTAAGTAGGTGAAATTTTAATCATTTCGTTCACTGTTGCAATTGCTGCAGTCCCTCCTCGAGCACTGTATTCTATTTCCTATTGTGGTGTTCACGTGCATCTTAAAATTCAGCTCAGTTAATTTGGTGAAAATGGGAATAAAGTAAAATTTATGGTTTTAAAAAATAGCCAATTTGACAAATAATAAGCAGCTAGCTTGTCAGGCTTAACAATAAAATGTTGTTAAGACATCAGTGTGGAAGAAGAGACTGTGTATTAAGTTTCTGACAGCTGGATTCATGTTTTCAGCTTTCAGAAACCCAACAGCTTTATAAAAAGCATCATAATCTTTGCAGAACAAAGAAATATTACTTCAGTGCTCATCTGTGCCAACAAAGAATGATTTTCTCTTTCTTTCCTTTTAAGAAAGCATTAAAATGTGAATAAATAGTAGGCTAGACAGAGCTACTACAAGGCCAGAAAAAATATTTTTTAGAGCTGAGCTAAATTTCTTAAAATTATAAATCAACTGAAAATTGTACTCCCAGTCCTGAAGTTATTCATGGTATGATGCTAACTCCCTGGAAAGCTTGGCTGTAAAACATTTGGTGGCTGAGTTGCAATGGTAGTGGTTGCGCCTCCCTCTTATCTGATTCTTCAGTGTTTAGAGCATTTGCCCAGGACCTAGGAAACCTCTGCCTGAGGGTGTTTAAATCCAGCTATATAAGAGTGCTGTATTGGAGTGCAGCCTCCCGAGTAGCCACTGCTGGTCCTGTTCTCCTCTATATAAAAAAGCCTTCGATTGGAGAGGGACAAGCCTGCCCACAAAGCTGAGAACGTCCCCTCTGTCGTAATGAAGGTTTCAGTATCAACGGACAAGGTGGAACAACCCGAGCAGAAAAGATTAAGGAGGATCTTACCTCAAAACATGCCCTAACCCATCACCTTGGGTACTTGCGTGAGCTGGAGTAGGCCCAAGTTTGAAT